AAAAAATCAGGGAATTTATCAGTGAAAAAAAAAAAGAAATATTGGTAAAAACTGAGAATGCAGAACACTACCCACGTCCTATTTATGCCACATCTAAATCACTGTACCTTTTCTAATTGCTTCTAGTTCTTCTCCCAGCACCTGTTCACTGGTAGACCCTTTCCCTGTACTCTGGCAGGGGAGAATATAGCCAGTTCTCATAACCCAGGCTTGCCAGATCAAATCTCTTAAACCTTTGCTACCACCAAGCTAAGACTAAAAAGAGCACTGGTGAAGAACTGCGTTCAGTCATTGTATTAGTGGGCCAGATATACAACTAACAACTCCAGTAGCCAATTTTGGAGATAATTTTGCCAAACAACAGCGTTGCTAAATTTGTACTACTTTTGTTAGCACAAATTTGTACTACTTTTGTTAGCACAAATTTGTACTACTTTTGTTAGCACAAATTTGTACTACTTTTGTTGACCCTAGTGCAGCAGTAGCAAAGCTGTAAGCAGCAGCAAAACAATGTAAGCTATCTTGCCTAAGAGACCATGCTGTATCTTTCTAAGTTTGCTACTGCAATCACAAGGATTGATTTTTTTAAGAGTTAATTTATCTAGTTCTCTCCATCAAAAAAAGCTTCATACTCACTTTGATCCCAAAAGTTTGCAGAAAAGGATAGTTTTCTTGCGATATCCCAGTTGGTCTAATAAAAGGTATCATTTTGGAACCAAGAGTTCTAGTTTTTTGTATGTCATACTCACTTCATACTCAGCTTCATCAAGGAAAACTTCATAAGTAATTTAAGGCAATACAGGTTTCCCTTGATTTATGCAGGTTCTGTATGTGCAAATTCAATCTTATGCAATCTTTATATGCACGGTAAATTCACTGTTACGCGATCAGTGTGGTGGAAGACCACAGTCAACTGCTTTGTGCAGCACACTGTGGGAGGGACACACACCAAATACAGTCTTGTGTGTGGATCTGTGCTCCCTGCTCATGGTCTGTGATGTGTTTCTGTAGTTGCCATCTCCATTATGGTAACATTCACCACCACCCTGAGCTTGCGTGTGTACTGTCTGCTGTTGGTGAATACCAAAATTGCCTTGTAAAAGTGGTAGAAATGGGTCTGGGGGTCAGTCAAGTCAAGGTCTTGGAACATATCCGTATTTGTTACATTGTAAAGTGGGTTCCCTTTATGCAAATTCAAGTTACGCTCCATTTTCCAAGAATGCATGTACAGCATAAAAAGAGGAAAACCTACAGTGATAATTATTACCATTATCATCCTCATGCACCTGGCAATGTTCACAATGCTTTAAAGACATATGGCAAGGTTCCTGCCTCAAACAGCTCACACCGAGGATTAGAATCTTTGCAGTGATGTCTGCAACATAAAGGGCCGTCCTGGGGGGGCGGGGGGTGGAATCGGGGTGACTGCCCCAAGCCCTGAGCTTTGGGGGGCCCTGCGGAGCCCAGCTGCTCACTACCCCGCCCACCACTGCCATCGGCAGCAGCAGCTTCTTCAGGTTCAGGATCGGAGTGGCGGCAGGGCCCTGCACAGACTGATTTGTCCTGGTCACCTCTGGCAACATATATTTTCTAGAGATGATAGCAGGGATGTGTGGAGTTTGAGTATGGAAGAATCTTTGACAATTATGAAAGCCACATGCAAGCAATGGCTACAGCAAGGAAAAGATCCCCTGGTAAATGGAAGGTTTATATAAAGAAGGTGAGAGGAGCTGGGGCTGGGGAGGAAACCAAGAAAAAAGTCTTGCCTCAGTGATGCATGATGGAAGGACTGAAAAAAGCTGACACGACATTTGCAGCTTAAGCCTCAAAGAAATGAGGCTCTTTTGGGTGATACAGAATCATAGAAAAAGCATTGGAAGGGACTTCATCTAATTCAAACCCCTGCTCAAAGCAGGACTGTCCCCATATCTTTTACAGCACCAACTACACAGTCGGCATGAAGTGAGAGAAGTTGTTTAATGCACAGCAGTCTTCATCAGCAAGCCTTGAAGAGGCACTGGACGATTGGCAAGGGACCAAACCATCCCTACGGGAGCCAACTCTGTGATGTCTGGGGATTATTGCAGCCCAGCTGCCTTGTGTGATTGAGACACAGAGGTCTCAAGGAGGGAGTGGAGGGGCAGGGAGGGGTTCAGCCACGATGCAGCAGGGAGTGTGTTGAGGGCACCAGGCCGAGAGGAAGGTGGTGAAGAAGACAAGAGAGTGAGTTACCAGACCTGACCGCTTGACAGCACATCAGGGCAAACAGGAGAGGGTGCGGGGGACGGGGATGGAGAGGTGTATCCCCAGCCCCAGCCAGACACTGGCACCAGCCACAACTGGGCTGTGCCCGTGCTCCTGCTGGGACTCAAACCCAGAGAGAGCTTTCTGGCCGTGCTGGGGTGGGGGTGAGGAAAGACGCAGCTCCCTGAAACCCACGGAACAACCTGCGCAGTAGCTGCCGCTGCACCTGGGCAAGGGGAGCGGGACAAGCGCAGGACGGGACTGACGGGTCAGGCAAGGCCTGGGCGTGGGGGGAGAAGCGCAAAGGCTATCGGGACAAGTAGTGCGAGCGCCAGGCGAACGCGCTAGCTCCGCGCGGACCAAACTACAGCTCCCAGCGTGCCCCGCGTGCGCACCGCCCCTCCCCCCCACCAACCGCTGCGAGATGGGGCGCACTCGCTCCCTCAGCACCGCCGGTACCTTCCTCGGGGCCCGCGGGCGAGCCGCTCTCTTCGCTGTTCGCCGCCGCCATGTTGCCCGCTTGCTCACACCGCCAAGCAACCCGGGGCCACAAGCGGATTGGCGGCCTCCTCCAGCGAGGCAGCCACGCCCCCACGCCCTGTCGAGCGCCCCCATTGGGCGCCGCAGAGTTCCGTCCCGGCCTGCCCCGCGCGGCGCCTATAAAAGGTGCATTCCCATGATCCTCTCTTCCTTTTAGTCGCCGCTGCTGCCTGGGCCGAATCGGGCGCCATCATGAAGTGAGCTCTGCTTTACTTCCCCCACAACGCCCCCACCCCCCGGTCGGTCCCGCCACCCACGCGCCCCAGCTGACTGCTTGCGTTTGTCTCCCCGCAGGGTCGAGCTGTGCAGCTTCAGTGGCTACAAGATCTACCCAGGCCACGGCCGCCGCTATGCCCGCACGGACGGCAAGGTGCGCGGGGGGTTGCGGCCCGAGGGGACCTGGGGGAGGGGAGGCTGTAGGGGGGCGGTGGCTGTGACGTAGGGGCCCAGCACAGTCCTGAGGGATGTACAAGCCCAGGGACGCTGGCAGCCTTTAACCCTACACAGGGGCAGCAAAGATGGTGGCAGATGACAGAACAAGAACCACTGGTCTCAAGTTGCAACGAAGAAGGTTTAGGTTAGATGTTAGGAAGGATTTTATCATAAATAGGATAGTAAAACACTGGAGCAGGTTACCCAGAGAGGTGGTGAAATCTCCATCCTTGGAGGTATTTAAGACCCAAGTAGACAAAACTTTGGCTGGGATGATCTAGTTGGGGATGGTCCTGCTTTGAGCAGGGGTTGGACCTCCTGAGGTCCCTTCCAACCCTCACTTCCTATGATTCTAAGGAGGACTCAGCAACTTGACAAATATAAACTCTGATGGTTTGAATGGCGTAAACCTATTGTAAAATAGGTATATTTGTGTGCATGTTTCCAGGTTTTCCAGTTCCTGAACGCAAAATGCGAGTCTGCATTTCTCTCCAAGAGAAACCCCCGCCAGATCAACTGGACTGTTCTGTATCGACGCAAACACAAGAAGGGACAGTCTGTAAGTATATTTAATATATTATGATTAATGATGCTTTAATGTTGAAGAGAGGCATGTGAATCATCCCAGTTGCCATAGGTGTGCAAGCGACAACTCCTGGATTGTGAAGTGGGCTGGAGCATTTAAGTGTTACAGACTTTCATTTTTACCAATACAAAATTCATATCCTCATGATTCTGGCCATACATAGTTCCTGTTTGTTGGCTTTTGGTTCTGCCAAATATTAACACTTTGACATTAAGGCTGGGCAGTGTGATGGCACTTAATTCTCATTGGGAAGGATTACTGCAATGAGGGGAAGAGGTCTGCATTCCTCTCTAGTTGGTAGGTGATTAGTTGAGCATACATTCTTTGTTGCACTTGTAGCAAGTGTAACTTGTATCTGTTTTAAAGCTTGGACTGTGATTTTTAGGTCCAACTTAATTACGAAGTGATTGCTGGGTATAAAGATCCTGAACCTGCTACAGCATAACATTCCTTAAGTATGTTTCCAGTAGTTTTTATGGTTTCCATCATGCTATGATAGCTGTTATGGCATCTGACAAAGTTGATTGTCACCTGCAAAAACTTATGGCTCTGAAAGAATTTTTATATACATTTTGGGACACTGTTGAGCACTTTAATAAGCAAACCACAGTAATGAAAAGTGCCTGTGCATCACGTGTATCTGTGTCCCCACACTGGAAAAATTGGTGGCAAGGCCCTTTGAACTAAAGCTCATTGAATGTGTTTTATTTGAAAGTGCCCTGCCACCATCTTTCAGTGCAGGGACACAGGTCACTGATACATGTGGTGCTGAAGGCTGCTGGAGTGCATTTGTTTCCATGCTTCAGCGGACTTGAAATCAAGTTTGTTCTGATGTGCTGAATTTCTGGCGCCTCAAAGCAGGCTCCCCAGGGCTGTAGGAGCTGTAAGGTAACACCCTGCCCTGCCTTCTGTCTCACCTCATAGCTAACTGCCTCTCTCTTTCCATTGTGTAGTAATTAATTTTTAAAGGTGTTACTTAAACTTCAGCTGACAAGGTTTCTAATGCTTGTTTTGATTGGAACAGGGAAACATACGTGATTAGATTATCTATGCCAGCTTGATAAAGCTCTAAAAGTCTCTTCAGTGTTACTGTTAAGATTTTCTTTACCAAAAAAAAAAAGTTCATAGGCTATGTGGAGATCTGCAACAGTCTTCATGCTCTCCCATCATAGTAATTTCTGAACATGTTCTGTTTCAGTCGTCTTGGGATCTCATGGAGTTCATTATACTTGGATTATAGAAAGTTGAATTTGAAACTGTAGTTTCTGGAAGCAGGCTTGAATAGCTGGGCCTGGAGAGGGGAGCTAAAGTATGTGACATTTTGAATAATCGAAGAGGAAGGTTTGGGAGCATTTTCTGAAGATGGTTAAACTTGACTTGTCTCATGGTTGGAAACTTCATTCCACAACATCCTTTTGAACAAATTGACTTATACAAATAGATTTCCTGTTTTTAGGTACTCATAAGGAATGCTCTTACATCCTCATTGCATTTAACTGATTTCTCTTAGCTTTATTCCTTGTCTTCACAGACTATAAATAATGCATTGATGAGAGAGTTTTTTTTTTTTTTTTTTAGTCTGTTCTGTGTAGTGTGGAGATGGTTGTCATTATGGTCAGCATTTGCCAAAACAGATTCTTACTCTGAAAAGGATTTTGGAGAAAATGGTGACTCTACAACACTGAAGACAAATGCAAATAATGCAGTGCTCTCTGTTCAGCTTCTTGTGGCACTAATTATCTAATTCACACCTCTCCCATTTTAGGAAGAGATACAAAAAAAGCGCACACGCCGTGCTGTCAAGTTCCAGAGGGCTATCACTGGTGCATCTTTGGCTGAGATAATGGCCAAGAGAAATCAGAAGCCTGAAGTACGAAAAGCGCAGAGAGAACAAGCCATTAGGTGAGTAGCTGAAGGCAACTGTAGCAATCTCAAGTATTTTCAGTGTAGCAAATATTCTGGTTTCCATTAGGGATTTCTAAATTGTGCTTGAGGTCACAGTTTGTAACCTGGCTTGTTAGTGGGAGGGTGGAGTTAGAAAGAAAGACAAAAATACTTAAGGTAGTGCTAGCTTGAGGGTTAAAATGATGAAGCAGATAAGAATGTTAACATGAAGTCCTGAGAGCTTTTAAAAAAAATGTAGCTGTCCAGTTGTTGGGGATGCTGCTGAAGTATAGAAATGGCCTTTACTGCTATTTGGTCAAAAAGTTTAAAAAATATATTTTAAAAAATGACTGATTATAATTTAGGATGGGGGAAATGCCACTTGCATTGTAGTATTCCAAACAAGCCATTTTATTTTTTAGATTCTGAGGTGAGCTTTCTCAAGATGCCTTATGCAGCTGTAGGCCAGAAGTCAAATGCATCATAATTTCAGGTTTACCTAGCTGCAGTTCTTGTTTCTTTTAGTATCATAGCTAGAGTCTACTTCATTTTGAGATGGAAGGAAAATGTTAGGTGGAAGAAGCAAATAATTGTAATAACTCTTTGTTTTTTAAATAACAGGGCTGCCAAGGAAGCCAAGAAGGCTAAGCAGGCAACCAAGAAAACTGCAACCTCTACTACAAAGGTGGTATCTTTTAGGCCAAACGGGTAGAAATTTATAAAATGTAAAACTGGTAACTTGAAACAAATACTGTTGTGTGGAACATCTGATTGGGAGTTTGTGTATTGCTTGCTGCTTTTGCTGAAACGTGGGCTTCGGCAGTCTATGATATGGGAGATACGCTTTTAAGTCTTTGCTTTTTGAGACTGCAACAATACTAAATTATTGCATTTCCTGATAGCCTCTGATAGCCAGACATTTTACATAATTAGCAGGAAAGTATTCTGAATTTGTGTTGATGGGTGCCTGTTCTTTAAGCTGGTTAGCACTGCAGGGCTCTTTCTGTAAACCTCCTGATTACTTGCCTGCTTTACTGAGATTTGTCACTATACGTATGATACCACTATCTGAGTACACTTGCCTCACTTCTAATAAGGACACTTTATGCCCTCAAGGAAAGAATTAAAATGGAAACATTACAAGAGATTTTACCAGCTAGTTTTACCATTTGTTTTCAATGTCTTTTAACAGGCACCAACAAAGGCAGCACCTAAGCAGAAGATTGTGAAGCCAGTGAAAGTTTCTGCTCCCCGAGTTGGTGGAAAGCGCTAATTTTGGCAAGCAGTAGTTGGCTGTGTTTAAATAAATATCTGACTTTCATAACTTGTGCAGTGTTCTGTTCGCTATGTGGAATGCTGAAAAAGTTGAATACAACAAGAGCTTAACTTGAGAAACAAGCCACTGCTAAGAGAATCTGCTTTGTACAGTCTTCTGAGTTTTGAAATAGGCTATTCTGTCTGTTCTGCAGTGTCCAAGGGTTTACAGTAGTTTCTCCAAGGAGTAAACTCTGAAACACTAAAATCACAACGCAAAGCATAAATGCTTCTCAATGGGAGAGTTCAGAGTCCGATTCCTGTACGTAGCAGCAGTAAGAAAAATATGGCCCGCTGGCTAGATCTGGCCTACCAAGTCATTTGATCTGGCCTGCAGCTGGTCCCTCTTGTATGCAGGAGGGTGACCGGACTCTGCTTCCCTGCAGCCTTGGCAGTGTCGGCTCCTGGCTGCTACCACTACTGCCACCGGACTTGGCCCTGGTGCCTGGGCACCACAGCCTGTCTGCCCTACATGCTGCCGCAAGTGCTGGATGGAATGGGCAGGCAAGGTCTCCATGGAGACTGGCCCAGTACCTCTGCAGGCAGGGCACACTGCTGGACAGATGGGATGGAGCCCACAGCCAGGAGTATGGGCAGTTGGGGCCAGGATCTTGGTCTGAGGCAGTGTCACAGCCTGCTGCCTGATCATACCTGCAATAGGTGCTAGTTCTATGGGCTGGGACATGTCAGAGGTGGGCTGCAGGCCTGCCCTGCACTTGGACTGAGGTGAGACCCAAGATCTTGGCCCCACCCATCCTGCAGTGTGCCTTCCCTGCAGAGGTCCTGGGTTGGTCTGCCTGGAGACCCTG